AAGAGTGTATGACATTTTGTTCTTATTATTTGAAAGATGTTGAAATCAAATTTAATAGACCGTCGAAAAATATTGGTATGCAGCAACATGACTTTGCCTACAATTATCTTTTTCAAAGTTTTGGACAACCAATAGGTAAAGCTGAAATGGTATAGTTAGATGATAAATCTTAGGCACAAGCATATCGATATGTTCTTTTTCATCATGACTCTATTGAATCATTTTGCACGTATGTTTTTTAGCAAGAAAATTATTCATTACATTAAGCATAATTTATTGTATTTTTTTTATTATTAATACTTTATCATGATGTTTTGTAATAAGTACATAAATAATTCAAGAGCTCTTGCACATTATCGACGATCAAACCCTCAAGAGCTTGATAAGTTATTCGTCGAAAACTTTTATGAATGGTTAGGAGCAACTATAAGTAATGCCATACTTCCCTTTATGAGAAATCTACATAGAATGCTTACGGTATAACTAACATTAATAATATATGTATATTTATTTCACTTGTATAGGTTTAGAGTAGAAGGCTTGTTAGTGAAAAGGTGAAGTGTCTTTCACAAGGTCCGAACAGGATTGTGAAATGATACAAAGGTTTCATCATCAATGGATTTAGATTTCACACTAAATCCTATGAGAGATTTAACAGTACATAAAATTCAAGAGTTGTTGTTACTTCATCAACTACTAGCTATGCTAGTGTTAGGGATACAAACCCTTTTGAGGAAAATGTTGACTATTATGGCATGATTAATAACATCATTGAGTTGGATTATTATAGCAAGTGAAAAGTTATCTTATTTCAGCGTGATTGGGCTAATGTGAATAGTGCAAGAAGTATTAAAAAAGATCAGTATGGATTTACACTTGTGAATTTTTCTCGATTAATTCACATTGGACAACAACTTATCGATGAACTTTATATTTTTTCATCTTAAGTCAAACAAGTTTTTTATTCTGAAGATCCCAAAGAATTGGGTTGGTTTGTTGTTCTTCGAAGCACACCTAGAGACTTATTTGATATGAGGTTAGATACAAAAGATGATGCTAAAATGGAACTAAATGTTATCCTTTTGCTGAACAAAACTTGGATGAAAATATCTCTAGTACCTACGCTCAGTGGGTCCATAAAAATGTTAATGAAGACATTTATGAACCATGATGGATCATCTATATTTTGTAATTTGAGTGTTTAAGACATAATGTAGTAAATGATTGTATGTAATTAATGTCGCATTCGCTATTGTATATTTATTATATTGTAAATCATATATTATCTTTTCATTTAATTAAATCGATATGTTCTTTTTGTATCGTAGGTTATGATTTCTTAACTTCTCAATATCTTTATATACGTTCTAAACTAATATATTTTATATATTTACTTTTATGATGTAGATAAGCTATAATGTCGAAGAGTAGATTAAAAGGAATACATATCAGAGATATTAGTTCAAAACCGTTTGTGGCACTTGTTGATATTGGCGATGAATTGAATCTTTTAGAGGGGAAGGAATGAACATATTTTCGGATCTAACTCAGTCACTTCTAACCTTCAACTGATATTGGATTTGATAATACGGGAGGTCTAAGTTTAGATAGTATCCCGTCAATTGATTATGCGTTAAATTTGAATGCAAGTATCATATACCTATATTTAGAAATCGATTATAATGATAAAAGTATTGCCATTTACAAATTCATTTTTTAATTTTTGCAATTGATAACAATGGTCAACGGAGGATTAGAGGCCGAAAAACTTTGAAGGAATTGTTTGAACTACCTCCGAATGAGCGTATTGTAGTGTTTGCAAACTCTGATAGGCAACTAATTGGTAAAAAGGCTCAACTGGCTAGATTTCTAGGCATGTTTGCCTGTAATGGAATGAAATTGCCTATTCATTATGAAACATGGCATAAAGTTCCAGCAGAAGTAAAGGCCAATGTTTTAAACTTTGTTGAGGTATTAGTATAATTAATTACATATAAAAAATCAATTATTTTAAATTTGATTTATTGATTAAAACTTTTTTTTTGTATTATTACAGTCAAAATTTGTACTTGAAATACCAACTTCATTTGTGCTTAAGTTATTAGGAAAGAAATTGAAAGATTATAAGCATAATTTGAAGAATAAGTATTTCGATCGAAATACAACTGTAGAGGTGACAATGAAAAATTTACCCCGTAATGTGATTAGGTGGCAATGTGAACAATTAGTTAAATTTTAGTTCTTAAGAAAAAGGAGAAGTACTAATTTATAACTTTGTATAGTAGAATGAAATAATGAAAGTGTTTTATGCTTTAAGTTGGTAATATATATTTCTACAATATACCCAATTATTTTTTATGATAAAAAGAGAACAAATTGGGATTGGTAGCAGAAAGCAACAAAAATATAGCCACACAAGTGGATAAAAAAGTTTTGCAAAAAGAAATAGTAAGTTTATGATTTTAAACTTATTCCAATGAATAAACTTTTTGTGCCGTTAAAAGGTAAATATGCAAATTAACAGTTATTGTACTGTTTTAATAGTTTTGATAGTTTCAATACATTATTTTAAACTTATCAAAAGTTTTGAACTTAGTTGAGATTGATGATATGTATGAAAAAGTTATTATTGACGTCTATTTAAGTAAAATTACAAATTTTTTGTTATTTTTCTATTTAAATAGCTTGGATAGCTTCAATACTTGATATTAAACTTGTCTGATTGATTGAACTTGATTTCTAGGGTTGATATGGGTGAAAAAGTTGTTGTTTATGTTTATTTGGGACTATTTTTCCCTTTAAAGGGTAAAAATACAAATTAAACTTTTGGATGACTTTCAACAGTTTGAATAGCTTCAATCCGTGATATTAAACTTGTCCAAATAATTGAAATTGGTTGCCATGATCAATATATGTGAAAGGCCAAAATGCTTTTATTGTTTGCGTCCGTTTAAGACATTGTGTTGGATAGGGCCCAAAATATAAATACATGATATTAAAATTATTTGAAATTTTTGAACTTGATTGAAAGGCTTGATATGCATGAATAAGATGCGATTAATATGTATCCTATCAAATAACATATATTTTTGTATAAAAGATTGAGATGGGTGATAAAATTAGATGTGTGGAACTTTTTTGCTTAGCACACACAAAAAAAGATGGATCTTACATAAATGTTGAAACACAAAAAATTGTGGTAATTTATAACATCTATTTTAGCAGAAAGTAATATTTACTCTTTTTAACATATTATCAATTAATCATTAAACTTGATAGTCGTATATGACTAATTTACAAGAGAAAATGAAATAGAAAATGACTGTTGAGATTGAAGTAGCATCTGATGGTTCTCTCAACATACAAGAATTGAAAAATCAGATATTCATAAAAGTTACTATAAAAGAAAGGCATGGATAGGTCCAAGGCCTTAAATTGGGTCCAATACCATCTATCTACTATGAACGTAGCTCTCAGCAAGTCAATCATCGCGAGACATTTCAATATTGAGAAAGGAGTTGCAAACTATGCAACAACATTTTCAGCAAATGAAAGTAGAAAGAGAATGGGAGCGTGCCAAAATTGAGGAAGAACATGCTAGAATAGAGCAAGAGTGTGCAAAATTTCAGCAGTTGCATGATCGATTTGATTATTTTATGAATTTTGTGCAACAAAAATTTCTAGAAACTAATCTCGGTGATCCTCCAACTTAGGTATTATATTTAGTAAATATTTATATTTTTTAATATAAAAAATGCTAACAATGAAATGTTAAAAATTATATGCTATAGTAGGTTCTTAAGCACGCTAGTGACCAAAGTGAAAAAATTCTTTCATCAATTGATAGCCTTCAAAATGTATGCAGTCATCAATTTTATATATTTTAATTTTTATTTTGTTAATGTATTAAAAAAATTTGAATGTTATTATACTAATTATTAAACTTTATGTTAATTAGATACATATTTGAATGTGAATTAAGTTTATATTAATTTCAATTTCTGAATTTAAGCTCGTTTATGAAAATAATAAATATTAATAAAAATTTTTTATTTAAAAAAATACATTTCTTAATTTCGCATCAAGAATATCGTTAAATAAATAATTTAGTGGCGTTTGTACCATAAAACGCCACTAAAAGTAACGACGCTCTTGCTAGAAAATACGCTAAATTAACAGCATTCTTCTGATACAATTGCCACCAAAGTAACGGTATTTTTTTGATAAAAATGTCACTAAATTAGTAATGTGTCAAAGATACAAACGTCGTTAATATAGCGACGTTTTTCAGATATAAATACTGATAATATAGCGGTGTTTTCCAGATTTAAATGTCGCTAATATAGCGACATTTTTCATATTTAAATGCTGCTAATATAGCGATGTTTTTCATATACTTAGCGGCGTTTTCTATAAAATGCCACTATTTTTCGTAACGTGTGTATAGCCAGCACTTTGGCTGACGTTTTTTACAAATTATGCAAATCTTTTAATGACGTTTATAAACGCCGCTAAACGTAAAAACAAAAAAAAAACGTCACTAAAAATCAAAACCCCTGTAATGTCTAATTAAAAATATAATAAACAATACAATCAAGTTTTATTATTAATTACAACTTTATAGCTAACAAAATATTATTAATTCGAATGGAAAATAAGAAATATTTCAATTTTTTTTTTTAATTTTGCGGATGTTTAATAATACTAATAATATTAACTATATGTAATAATATTTATAAGAAAACAAAATCAATTACGACTCTAATTTTGTTGTAAATAATATACGAATTTGATATATTTGGACTAATCAATTAGCTAGTTGAAATCAACAAGAATTTTTTAAATTATTTATAGTTATATACATAGGCCAATAAAAAAAATAAAGTGACAAAAAAAATCGTTTGTCTTCCAAAAAAATTAATATATATTCAGAGAGTTCTATTTCCTTCCAAATTTCCTTTTTTTTGTCTTTATTTGAGAGAGTTATCCAATGAAAGAAGGTAGTATTCACGGCTTTGTGCTAGCAAAGCCTAAAAATCTTCCGATGACCTCCAAGTCAAAGGAGGAATATAAAGTATTATTGAAGTTGTTTTGGTCGAGTTATCGGTTCAAGCCATATAACTTTGAGCTTATTGATTATTACTTGAAGAAGAGAGTTTATGATCAATCATTGCCACCAAACAGAATCAGGGAAGTTCAACTCTACAAGTAGGATCCCGAAATTCTTACAGGTTTTTATTTCAAACCTTTCTTTTCTTTTCTTTTTTTTTTTTGGTGCGTTTTCTTTTTCAATTTCTTTATTTTCTTGGAATCAGAACACATCAGGTGTTTTTTAGAAAAAAAAAAATGAAAATCGAGAGAGAAACTAATGCATAAACCACAATATTTATCTCGTAATCCATGATCCATCGTCAAGGTTCTTTTATTTATTGCACTTTTTCTTTGCAATTTTTCCTCAAATCCATTTAATTTTAGTGAAGTCTATTATATATATATATATATATATATATATATATAGAGAGAGAGAGAGAGAGAGAGAGAGAGAGAGAGAGAGAGAGAGAGAGAGAGAGGATTAATTGCTCCTAAGTTTACGTGATTTTCGTCGTAGGACTAACCTCGTCATCGACTAGGTTACCATACTTTTTTCTTTGGTTATTTTTTTTACTGGTAACCGGTAATACTTTTCTAGATGGATTGATCATGGGGGACATTAGATGAATTAGTTGACATTGGTAAAGCTATCTATTAAAAATTATTTAATAAAAATATTAATTTAAAATTTAAATCAATAATTGGTAGAGTTTAATGAAAAAATTCATAATATATAAATTTTTAAAAAATATCATTTATTATTTAATTTTGATCAGTTAAAAAAATTTTATCAAAATTTTTAATAAAAATATCATATAAAAATATATGAAAATTTTTTAAATTTACATAATTGTTTTATGTAGTAAAATCTTTTAATTTATTGGATTAGATTTTTTATTTTAATTTTTATTTAATTAATTTTAATAAAAAATTTTATAAATTTCATTTTAAAAACTTCCTATAAGTTGTTTTCTTGTTGCATGGATTAATTTTTTACTAGTTAAATAGGGAGGTTTGTATATTCTGAAAAGTTGAGATAATTTAATTCAAATATTGATAGTGCTGTCTAACATTGAAATCATATTCTAAAAAAAGGAAGTAAATTAAATTTCTGTTGAAATCGTGACTGGATCATTTTATGCCAGTAAATTTGGTAGGATCGATAAAGTCTTGATGGTAGTTTGAGAAAATATAAGCAGGATATATATAGTTTCCTTTTATATAGCAATACTGGTAGACTTGCAGCATTATTTTCCATTATATTATCTTAATTTATAACCATTTTTTCTTTCCATTTCATAACAGAGATCAATAATAACAAGTCGTCAAATGGAGCGGTAACTGAATGGTATTTCTTAACTCCATAAGACCGCAAATATCGAAATGGCAAAAGACCTAAGCGAGGAGCTGGTGATGGATTCTGGAAGGCAACCGGAGCCGATAAACTTGTCAAGTGTAATGGAACTGTAGTTGGATTCAAGAAGACTTTAGTCTACTACAGGGGGAAACCACCTAATAAGGGTGACAAGACCAACTGGGTCATGCTGGCGATGACGATATGCGAGTAACACCCCCCCCCCCCCGTTTTTTTTCTTTTTAATTTTATTCATTGTTATTTAATTTCATGTTTTATGCTATTCCGATTTTTTTTTTTATCAAGATCTGACCTTTTAAATATATAAAAAATTTTGAACTTTGAAATTTAACACAATTTATTTATAAGTAATATTCAATAAATTAAAAAATTAAATTTCAACACGTATAATATTTTTTTTATTTTAAAATTCGATCTCCTTTATACCAAATATTTATATATGAAAAAACAATTTAGAAAACGGCACTTACCTCCGAGTCCCAATAACATAATCTAGCTTTATGTATTACTTATCATTTAATTATGCTTTTTTTTTTTTCACATTGATGATTGGGTACTGTGCAGAGTGTACAAGAAGCAGGATGCAAAGTCAAAACCTGAAACCCCACAGCAGGGGTACTAATCAAAAACAGGAGGAAGATGCAGATATAATTCCAGCTCACACTGAAATCCAGAAGCAAGAATGTGGGATTCCACCTCTTCAATCTCAACAGTTTCATGCCAAAGACTTCAATATGCTGCCACAACAAACTTTCCCCATGCCTTTCCACAATGCATATGAAGTTTCTACATCCAGAGAACTCCCACAGTTTCCTGAATCTTATTATGATCCTAAGCTGGAACGTGATTTTACATTATTTCTTGAACAGGCTGTACCTGGTTATGGTAATTCTATACCAACAATTGCACCAATGTCATCAATACCCCCTGATCAATTCCATTGGATAGGCCATGATAATTTGGACATACGTCAGCACCCGCAGAAGCAATTTTCAGGTGTTCCAAATAATTTTGAGTTCTCAGCTGCTGATAAATTCCTTTTAAATATGGACTTTGGTTTGTCAAAGTTTTAAAGAGTTATGGTAGTACTATTTTTAGGGTTTTTTTTTTTTTTTAATTTTCTTGATGGATATGATTTGAATTTTGGGCAATGGTAGCTTATGCCCCTTGGACTTTTTTTAAAGCAATTTAGGTTATGGGGTCTGCAATACTCTGGCTTTAGTGGCTTCTTAGGACTTTAAGTTTACAGCTGGTTTTCACTTTTCAGCTATTGGTATGTATGTTAGACAATTCAAGCACTAATTTGACTGAATCTTCGAGTCCAAGCTAAACAAAGTTTTATGTTCTACATGTTGCAAGTGAAACTGCCTGCTGCAATTGGCAACTGCCTTTCCATTTTCTGGGAGGTGGACTAAGTCCTTTGTCATTAAAACTATCTGATTCAGCCAAGTTCCAGAGTCCAAAACGCCAATGTTAACATCAAGAAATCCACGAAGTCCATGAGCTTTTCATTTGGAAACACGGATACTGCCCATTATCACATTTGCTTGAACTGGGTAACTGGCAACCTTCATAACCAGAGAGAATTTTTTTTTTGATACATAGAAAATATCTTTATTTAACATGTCTAAAACTATACTTTTTTTTGTAATTAAAAAAAAAAAATTGCAATTCATGTTCTCATAGACTCAGCCACTCTTCTAACAATTTTTTTTCTTCTTTCATTCCAATACTTGGGTAGTTGAAGTGTAAAAAGTAAAGGATAGAAATTGTTATTTAAATTGACCTATTTTAAGGACAATGAAAAAGAGTAGCTTTCAATGTGGTTTAGTAGAAGAGAAAAAATGATAAATTAATAAAAAAAATTGATAGTAATTTGTATTTATGATATCGAAACAAATACAATGATGGGACTCCTAACTTTATGTACACCATCATCCCATTCCAAAGAAGCAGAAACTATAGATTTATCTGTTGTTCCTTCAATTGTTAGTGCAAATGACAGCTTTTGTCCGTGAGATGTGAATGGCAAAACACTAGGATTAACTCGGATTTTAAGTGTTCCTGCTGGGGCAGTCACATTTGCCCCATAAATAGACATTGGTGATCCCACATTTGTGACAGTCCTGTTGAAGACGCGGCTAACAGTTTCTGAGGCTGTGGTAAAAAGAGCAAAGGATGGATAGTTTAGATCCCAAACTGTTCCATTGGTGGCTTCAGAACAAGTAGTATCATCCCTCGTGACTAGTTGAACAAATCGAGTCCCATTTCCCTGTCCGCACAAAAATTTTATGTAGTCAACTTCTTCAGAATCATATATTAGACCAGGATTAACAGCCTTGATAGGATTCACATGGCCTGAGCCATATGCAAATTCAGCGTCCAAGTTAATGCCGGAACTCATAGGGGAGGCTGCAAGGAAACATTCCAATCGGGAAAGTTAACTATAGTGGCTTTGATTTTGTAGTTTAGGAAACAGTTGTAGACTAGTAGTCATAGCCATTACCGGTGGTCATAAGGGCAGATTTGATAGCAGCAGGAGACCATGTGGGATGAAATGATTTAATGTAGGCAGCTGATGCAGAAACATGGGGACATGACATTGATGTTCCTGAGATTATGTTGAAAGGTACGAATCTGTTATCGCCTTTAATTTGAGAAACAGGGGAAAGTAGAGACCATGCAGCTAGAATGTCAACTCCTGGTGCAGATAAATCTGGCTGTAATTATTAACAACAATTAAATAATCAGTCACAAAACAGCTAGAATGTACAAATTAAGGCTATTAATAACCAACTACCTTAAGTATGTCAGGTGTAATTGGATTCGGACCCCTTGACGAGAAAGAGGCTACATAAGGAGCCATTGTGTCATTATCCTCGTTACTCTTAAATATAGTTGCAGTTGCATTACTGTAATTTATGTTAAAAATTTATAGCCATGAGTTAGCAGATCTTCATTCATGATAGAAAGGGGTATAAAATTCATACTAAATGAAATTGAAAAATGAAAATCGTTCGTTGCTACCTTGTCGAGTTTATATATATAAGAATCTTGCTGCCATCAACCAGATCAAGGTAAGAAGCAGGCAAAGGAAACGAGAAGGCAAAATCTTTCGCTCCCTGGTCTTGCATCACTGCACCAAGTGCACCAGCAAGTAATGGTTCTCTCCCAGTGCCTAACATATCACAAAGAACAATTTTTCCCTTCACCAAATTGTGGTCCAACGAGTTCTGAAGGCAAAACCTGTGATTTAAGAATCAATCCCCTAATCAGATTTCATATTTGATGTTCCTTTGTATTTTCCTTTTAGAAAAGGCAATGTCTACCCAAATCTTTTTCTTCTCTTCCATTTTGTGTATGGATATCAATGGTATTTCTAATTACTGATAACTCTCATACTAGTTCTATTTAGAATATGGCTAAGTTTCAATAACTGCCTACCACTAAAGAGTTTTAAAATGGGACTGTTTTTGATATTACCTGGATGAAGCCCATGTAAATTTTCCAATAGTGTTGGGTGCATTTCCACCATGAATTATAGGGTACATTTCATTATTGAGATCAAATGTATTTATTGATACACCCTGAATACATGTCAGATAAATACATATTCAGAAAAAGACATTTTAGGAGCACAAATTAACAAATCTCCTAATTACATTTCATTTAATTAAACAAATGTAGTTAGTTATAGCTCTTTTAAAATTTATCCGGTTTTAATTTCTTGTTTCTTTCTAAAGTTCTAATTTTATGAATAAGAAAGGGACATTTAATGACATTACCTTATAAATCATATTGTTTCCAAACTTCAGCTTAGTGAAAATTTTTCGATCTGTGGTGCTAGCAGCCACAGAAAGGGACCATGGTGAAAAACTCGTAATGGTTGCACGATTAGGACCTTGATTACCAGTGGAGTTTACTGTCAGCACACCATTTTTCATAGCATGAAAAGCGCCAATTGCAATAGAATCATTGAAATAGTCTCTACGAATCCGCCATCCAACTGATAGGGATATAATGTCAACCCCATCAGCAATTGCATCATCAAATGCTGCAAGAATATCAGCATCATAACAACCACCTGACCAACAAATTTTATACACAGCAATACGTGCCGAAGGAGCCCCTCCTCGAGCTGTTCCATAGCCAAGGCCAAACAGGTTTGCCCTGTTAACTAACCCCCCAGCAGCTGTTGATGCCGTATGAGTCCCATGGCCACTAGAGTCTCTTGGTGAAATGAGATCATCCGAGCCAAATAATCCGTCACTCCGGTAATATTGTGCTCCTGTGATCTTACTGGATTTGGAAAGCAATATATGTCAAACTTCAAGCACAACTTTGATTGACTCTCCAAGACTACAAACAAAAGATTATGTTTTTAAGATACATACTTATTGCAAGTAAAGTTATTAGCTGTTTGGCAAATGCCTTTCCATTTGATGGGAGGCGGACCAAGTCCTTTGTCATTAAAACTTTCAGATTCAGGCCAAATTCCAGTGTCTAAAACTCCAATAATAACATCACTTTCCAAAGCTGCTCTTTCAACTTGTTCGGAGAAGCCCATGAAGTCCCATGACCTTGTTGTATGTAGGTTTCTCTTTTCATTTGGAAACACCGATACTACACCACTCATTCCTAAATTTCCAAAGATGTGTAATTAATTTCAAGAAAAAAATTAGCCAAAAACATTTCAAGAAAAATGATCATGCTTAAATCATGCTCACTCACCAGCCATTTTTTGTGCTTCTTCCTCTGTCAGCTCCACCACGAACCCATTAAAACTCCTCTTGTAGCTACAGAGCACCGACTTCATGGCAAAATTGCTGAATCCATTCCATTTTGCATAGTCAAGGCCTTGGTTCACCGCAATATACATATACTTAAGCAATTTTTACTTATCTGATTTCAGTTTTTCTTCAACTTTACATTGATAGGGAGTTAATGTAACTACAATATGACCTGAAAATTTGTAATACTCATAAAAAAAAAAAAAACTATTTTAAGGAGTTTTTTTTTTTTTTTTAAGCGGAGAGACTCTTTAATAAAGAATGAAAAATGTAGAGGACCTATTGATCAATAACCTAATTTTTTTTTAGTAGGGTTAATTTATTCTACTGGTTTCAGTCAACGACTAACCGAGACAAAAAAAAAAAAGGGCTTATTTCTCCTCTATTTCTTATAGAGAAAAGATAAATCAAAGGATTTCAAGTGAAGAGTAACAACAAAATTTGCAAGGAGAATTGTCAATTAGAGGTGAGTAAATAATTTTCTTCAATTTTGAAGTGTTGATTGTTAAGTTTTGAGGTATTATTTGTAGTTGAGAAACCCTAAAATTTTGAGGTTTCCATTATCCCTCTTCAAAATTAGTTTGGGCAAATAATTTATACTTTAATTCGAGTCTAATTAAGTGTTGAGAAAGTTGGTAATATGATTTTATTACTGTAAAAATAGATAACAAAAATTTGATGGGAATAGAAAAAAAATTTTTGTTTCGTATAAACCCTTATATGAACCATGGTGTTTGTAGTGATGGATTGAGGTAATACTTTGTCTTAAAAGATTAAATATTATTATGATTATTATATATCGTTGGAAAACTTGCTGAATTTATTTTTCAATAAAATAAATGAAAGTCAATTCTGAGTTTTCTATGAAGAGTAGTTTAATATTTACTTAAAAATGTGCAAGCTACCTAGTAACCGTAGCAGAGAGGAATTACGAAATTCCTCTTAATTTTTATACAAGGATTTGTAGCTTAAGCCATATATGTTTGGAAAGCTTATTGAGTTTACTTTCCAATGAAATAAGCATAATTGAATTTGGAGTTTCCAATGAATAAATACGTAATTTTTATTAGAAGGTATACAAGTTATTTGGCAGCAGCATATGACATAGAATGTAAAAATTATTATAATTAATCTACATGGAATCACGAGATGGGTCGTATAGAGTTAGAAAACTTATAAGTCTAGTTTCTAACGCATTAAAAATATTTTAATTCTTAGTTGGATATCTTGAGATATGGTCATTTTAGTGAAAATAGCGCAGGGTGCTAGAATTAGTTACTTGAGTTAATTCTTGTTTAACTTAATTGTTTTGGTATAAGTGGTCTCAAATGAGTTGATTAATTACTGTTATGTTGAAATTATCTTGAATATGCAATTAATGTGGAGAAAAACTAAGTGGTGGAATTAAAAAGAGGTAGGTAGAATTTCACACACTTTACTTATTTTCAAATCTATGTATATATGTATGTTTCTAAATGAATGAATATTTTATTTTATTATTTTCGATATATGAAAATAGGATCAAGCATATGATTATTTTGCGTTTCTCTATATAAACGATGGATCATGCTTATGAATGAAATGATAAAATGATTTATGTTTAAAAAAAGATTTTATGATAGCTATATTTTTACATCCCTGGAAAGTGGGATCATCGACACTAGAATTAGTTTTACGACTCTGGCTAACGGGTAATAATGGTTAGCATAGATATGACTATACGGCCCTACTAACGGATTATAGTAGTTAGTGTAAGGCCTTAGCTAATGGGTTATAATAGTTAACAATGATCATGAGAATGAAATTGTCAATACGACTAATGTCATGGGTTATCGTAGTGACTATAGCTAATGATAAATAAATGATAATGATGATTGATGATTTTTTTTTACAAATTGATCCATGATTTGGTGACATGTTTGATATTTATTTATGATGCTCAATAGAATGCTGATTTTTGAATTATTTTTGATATTATGAGTTGATGAATGTTTTTGGAATAATCTATATAATACGTATGAAAATAATGTTTCATCCATAAGACGTGTGAGCCTATTCTTGTTGTAGACACCAATTTGAGTCCGAGCCCATTAAGGTCTGGACCCAATTGGGCCATCAATGTTTGGGCCTAATTGGGTCCATCAATGTTCGGGCCCATTTAGGCCTATTCAGTCCAAGTCTAAGTAGATAGCTTGTTTTTTTTTTTATTATTATTATTATTATTATTATTATTATTTTCTTGTTTTCTTTTTCCATTTTTTTCTTTGCTACTTTTCTTTTTTGGTTTTAATCCACACGTGAACAAAAAACACAGAATTGGGATCGAAATCTTGCTTGGCCAAAATTTTAATGCCAAATCATATTAGAATGGGATTGCTGAAATCTTAGGACCTAAAATCCCATCATGATAAAATTCAATCCCAGGAATCAAGCTTGGGATTGATTCTGTCTGTTTCCTTAAATTGATTGTAAGCTGCCTATAAATTGTACTAATTTCTACACACAAAAATAGAAAGAAAATTTTGGAGAGAAAACTGTGAAAAATTTGAGAAATATTGGGCATAAAGGGTTTAGCAGTTCAATTTTGGGTTTTGGAGTTCAATATGGAATTGTGAGATCGATTTTAGGTTTCTGGGTTAGGATTAGGGCTCAAGATGATTCTAGGATGTTTTGGGAGTAATCTGGGTGAAATTTGGAAGAATTTGGGAAAAATTCAAAGAAATCTGGGTTTTTTGGGTTTTTTCTGAGTTTTTGTGAAAGAACATGAATTTTTCGGTAATCGTTTGAAGTATTCAGTGAGATTCCGATGAGATTTCAGAATTCGACTAGATTTCTAAAAATTATAAGTACCGTTTGAATTTTTTGTCAACTTTTTTAGAAATCGATGAAATTCAATCTCTGGTTGAAGTTTTCGGTGGGTAACTCTAGAGAGAAGGTAGAGAAAAGTTGGGGTAGAGAAAGAAGGAACAGAAAGCTTTTGAAGAAAAACGTTGAAGTTTAGCTTTTATACAGTAGCTAAACGATGTCATTTCCTATAAGCTAGGATCCGTTCGTAGACCCAGTGACTCGTATGTTGACCCGCATCTTGACCTAACCCGATCGTAGGTTTTTTTTTATTTTATTTCCTTTTTAACCTATTTTCTTATTTTTTTTGTTTTATTTTTTTAAAAAAAGGTTGTTTCTGTCATTTTTATTTCTGAAAGAAAAAATAAAAAATTGAAGAAAAAAAAGAAAGAAATAATTTTAAAAAATGAAAAAAATAAAAATAAATAAAAATCCTTCCAATAAAAAAATTTATAGTTTCAAATAAGCAAAATGCATTTTTATCCTCTAAACTATTCGAAGATTGCTTTGAAATAGGCCTTACCAAACTATTGGGAGGTTTCACCCATTTTTCTTGAAATAAATTAATAAATCCAATGATGGAGCCTTTTAAGAGTGAGACACTAGTCTTTATGAATACTCTTGAGGTGAGAGAATTATCCTAAATTGCTACCAAACTATTGGGATAATTTTAAAGTTAATTTTCAATATTAAATTATTTGGTAAAATCATAAAAAATTAGTCAATGCTTGGATAATTTGAAATCAAACTGGTATCATCTTTTGATGGGCGTTATAGGGGTGCTATAACCTTCCTTATGCGTAACTGACTCCTAAATCTAATATCCATTTTACAGATTAGATTCAATCAGGTGGTCAATCGTGCTTAAACAAAAAAGATTAATGGTAACTCCCTTTCATCCATGTCCAACGATAAGTCTACGGATATATACATTATGATAGTTTGGTGACTCTACTGGGGACCTCAAGAGTCAAGCCAATAAATGACTTCTTATTATCCAAACCTTGCTTAATAAGCTTGAAATTATTCTATGCTTTTTTGTTGCTCATATCTGTTTATTTATTTTCCTTGTATTTATTTATATTTACTTGATTTTTTTATGTATATACTTGTCATACATTTGCATATGCATAACATAAACCCTCCACCCGAGCTCTACCTTTAGAAGGGAGTGAAGTATCTATGCCATCATGAGATTTCATGTCTTCGCATAGGCCTGCGAAACACTCTCACTGAGATTGAACCCTTTCCGCTTATAGCCTATGATGGGTGAAGATTACGATGCCTTACTAGTCTGTAATAGACTATGATATAGGGAACAATTTAGGGACCTTTTAGAATCAACCTAAACCGCATATAGTCAACTTTAAAAGCCCAACCATAGATAGAGCCTTGTCATCCCACCCTTTGAAGATAATCCAAATTTCAAGGTCATGCTGTTATCTTATTTACCATATGATGTTTTAGTGACTAACTAATTTCTTTGTCTTTTTTTATTTCTTTTGTGCACATTCATGAACACTTTATAGATTGTATAGTGGTTTTTTACCCTAAAGCTATTTCAACAAAAGCCCTCATGGATTCCACAAAACGTTAGGTTTTTGTCTCATCTATGCAATTCAAATGTGACTCTCCCATAGAAGTAAGGATAGAATAAGAAAAGAAATAGTAAAAAGAAAGAGATTACCTACCACAAGGTTATGTCTCTACACTATCAAAAGAATTTTACCTCTCCTCAAACATAATGATCTAAAAAGCCTATCAGACATATGGAATAGTATGACCCCTTCAAGGCAAGAAGCTTTTTGTGAGAAGTTTGGCACATCGCATATGTTACGCTAGTGGAGGTTGACTACTCACTTATCAGGGTAATGGTACAGTTTTGGGATCCTTCCTACCAATGTTTCATCTTTAATGAGGTTGATCTAATACCAACTATAGAGGAGTATTCAACTCTAATAGGTATGCATTTATTGTATCCAGACATAATATACATGAAAAAACCTAAATCAGGAAGTCGTAGGAAGCTGGGTCAGATAATAGGAGTGGGAAAGGAAACCATAGATTCATACATTCGAGAAGAAAGAGATCACAAGGATATTCCATGGGAGGTTCTCTAAGATTTCATTATCAAGCACCCAGATGATGACCAGGGAATAAATGCATTTGCTCTAGCCATATATGGGTTGGTC